GCCGAATGGTAATGGCTAAGCCATTACCTTTGTTATAATGCATGTGAGTCCCATCATTTATTTTATTTTATTTTTTTTTCTTTCTACACCACACAATTACATATACATATTTAATAATTCACATCCACATAAATATAATAAATAAGATGCATGAGGTGTGAATGGACCCAACTAAAAATCCCTGTACGCAACAGTTCCAGTAGCGGATCCTACACGGGACCGTCCAGCCAGAAAAATAGAAAAATGCAAAAATGACAACCCTTGTATTTCAAAGAGTCCTGAACCCAATGAAATGTCCCAATCAACTCTCAGACACACTTGGCACACCCTACGTCGCCGACACTCAAAACGAGAAAAGACGAAAATACCCTTGAAAAATAAAAAAATTCCAGAAATTAGAAAATGGTAAAATTTGGAAACATTACAAATATGATGCAAGCGCTTATGATCCACAACGGGCTTAATCCCGATGCTCCACCTCCTCCTTTCTAGATATCCTGCTAAGTGATTTTGTTCTTTGTTTTTCTTTTCTTTATAGTTTTTATTTTTCTTACTTTTGATTTCTGCCTAGTGAGGCCACTGTCTAATTCAAGTTTGGGGGCATAGAGTCTAGAGTCTAGTTTATTTATTTATTTTTTATAAAAAAAAAAAAATCAATTCTTTTTCTTTGACATATTGATTTTAATTCATATATTTGAGAATTGTTGGGAGATTAAGACACTTAAATAATTTTTAAAATTATTTTCTGAGATAGTCCTGAATTCCTAATATTTGTGCCTTACCTTATATGGGTTCCATTATTTAGTATGATAGGAGTTCTGGTATTTGTTAGTCCCTGATGGATTTCACATGCACACTAGAATTTTATCTATAGGTATTTATATATTTAGTTGAATTATGATGACTATAGATTGATATGAATTGGTGAACTTTGAAGATTATTACTATGGCATATAAAAAAATAAAAATCCAAACCCTTTCATGGAGTAATCGGGCCTCATGTCTCATAAGCATAGAGTGTTCGCATGAAGAAGTGGGGAGTAAGGATGAAAAAAAAAAAAAAAAAAAAAACAGAAGAAGAAATTGAAATAAATTAATTTGGTTTGTTTAGGTTTGTAGCCTAGTTGACTTGAATAATTAAGTCCTCAGGAGTGTCTTTACACTTAATGCTTTCAGACTGTTAGGTTTGGGAGTTATTGGTTGAAAGCTTGTTACATAAATCTTCTAGAAAGCTTAATAAACCGGACATTGCACGACCAATCAATATAATGTTTTTGAGAAGAAAAAAAGTTTGTCATAGAAAGATAACTTGAGAAGGGATTTGAGGAATTTAAGTTATAGAAGTTGGGCTCAATTGAAAAGATATTACTACGTGATTTGCTAGTTCACAATTTCACAAAATTGAGGATTGATTTTTGCCATTAATCTTATTGTAAAATTGTGTGGGAAATATTGGGATGAAGTATGAAAATAGGGAATACGGAGTATTGTCAGTTAATAATTTTTAAAGTACTTTTGTATAGTTTTCCCCTTGATTATTATGATGATATGAGAATGAGTTGATTGCCGAAAGATTGAATTGATTTGTATGTTTGTGGGTATCATTTCTAGAAACCCTTGTAAGACTTCACTAGTCCACTAGGGGTAACCTAGGGTTTAAAAGGTTTGTTGCATTCGCTAAATACAATTGTGATTCCCACGAAAATGGACTTTATGTTTCTCTAATTTTATTGCTATAGGACTAGTAATATGTAAGTTTGGGGATGTGTTAGGTATTGAATGTTATACATTTTAGCCCCTTAACTTGCATGTTTTATTCTCTTAGTAGTAGTTCTGAAATATATTTTTGTAATTGGTATATTTAGTTAACAAAACAAGTCCTAGTCGAGTTGTAATTTCAGTTACCATATTAGACTTGACATCGACTGTGGAATTTGAAGGTTGTTCAGAAGAGGAAAGTACTGTTGATCATCAAAAAGGAAAGAATAACATATTAGGACATCGTTTCCCACTTAGGACACAAATACCTATATGGTATATTTTCCGGAAGTTCGAAAAACAGAAAATCCAAGTTCAAATTGGATTCTGTCAAGTGGGAATCGGTACCTGAATTTGGAAACCGGTTCTAGAAGTTAAGATTTGAAAAACTTCATTCTGTCCTTTGGGAATTGATACCAAGATTGGGAACCGGTTCAAGGAGTCCTGATTGCAAAAGGTTTTCAGTTTCCTTGTTCTGTTTAATTCCTTTTTTATTCAACTTTCCTTCCAAGTCCTATACACAAAATTTCTTTTATTTTTAGAAGGAATAGGATTTTGCAAACCTCTATATAAACCGTGCTATACACATAGGTTTAAAAACGGCTTTTGATTTATAAATTTACTATTCTTAAAAGCCTTAAGAAGATTATTTTTGCAGAAAATTAGAGTTGATTTTTCTGTCATCTTTCTAGAACACATACACACAAACACATAGAGAGTTTAGAGTTGTGGTGTTCAAATCCTGATCGTGATCATACAGTTGTATCTACATCGATCAGACGAAAACATATCTACTTCTATATAGAATTCAGATGATTGAAAAACAGATGTAAAAGCGATCACACTTTGAAAGGGTTGGAGCATTCTAGGAGTGTTGTCTAATCTACCTGCTACTCTTCTACAAATATCAAGCATAAGATTGAGGTCAAGTTAATATTGGACGGGGAATCAGAAAGTCAGAGGAATGTCAGTAGTTGGTGTTTTGTAGAATGATAGGGTGTGAGCCAGAGTCAAAGTTCAGTGTACTTTGTTTTAAGCATAGTGGATCGGTTTACTTTGGACTGCACAATCCAAGAGATTTTTCTCATACAAACAGTTGACGTATTTTATCAACTGGGGTTTCCTCGCTAAAATCCTAGTGTCATCTCCAACTTTACTTTGTTTTATTTTATATTGCATGATTTATTAATTGCTAAAATACACAAAGTTGGAAAAGACACAGATCTGTTTTAAATAATCAAAACTTTCATATTCCGTTGCGTACGACTCACACTAGTTTATTTGTGATTTTACATTGTTTTTATTTATTTCAGGGCTTTAATTGTAATATCAATCAAGACCAGTGATTTAGAGCTTGAGAAGACCACATTCGTGGGACCGAGCAATGATGAAGATCCAGGTCTAATTAGACCTAGAAAAGAGTCTAAGAGAAGCCACAAGTTGATGAGAATGGAAAGAAAAAGAAAATGAAAAATCCTTCTCCAACTTGGAAACTCTCTCCAAAATTGATAACTTGAACCCATTTTGGTAATTTATCTATATCTTTCTCCTTGAGTGTCAAAACAGCTTAATTCTCGATTGGGTTTAAAGGAAATTCGAAAATCTACAATTTTGTATTTCACAAGGATTTCATAAAACAGCTATTTACCTTGTCAAAACTGGGCTGGAAGTTTGTACGAATTTTGAAGTCATTGTTTGACAGATTTTCCATATGTCTTCTATATGAAGGGAACTTTGGGGCTAATCTTTTCTTATTTAAAGGGAGTTCTCTACATCATTGTGAGCATCATACAGAGGAGCTTGAGGCTGAGATCAGTAGAGAAGCATTCAGAAGAAAGAAGGGATCAATCCATGGCGGTGAAGACGTCTTCCTCAACCATGAAGAAATCTATTCCAGTCATGCTCAGCTAAACGCTTTGCTAGGGTTGTGATGTAGCCCTAGCTTAGCACCACTGGTTTGATTGTATTCATTTATTGGAGAATAATTATTTTCAGGCATGATTGTGTAACCTATAAGATTTTTACTTGACTTTTCAATAAAAATCGGTTTTAAAGTTTTAATTCAATTACAAATATTTTTATATCTTGTCTTTGATATTTGAATCTTGTGATTGAACACAACTCATTCACTTCTTGAAGTTGTAAATGAGATGGTTATACAATGGTTTTTCTCTCAATATAATATTAGGGTTTTGATGGATTATACCTAGAAAAGATAAACCATACTACACCCTTGAGTAAAGTAGTTAGGTAGATGGTTTATGCTAATCGAAGATAGTTCATACTTAGCTTTAATTTATATTATCTTCTAGCTAAATTAATATGTGCGTGTAACCATGATTAATTCCTTATGCATGTTATATATATATATATATATATATATCTCCAATAAATTGATGCAATTGACCGGTGGTGCGACGTTAGTGGTAAAGTTATGCCCCTAGTTCTCTCTCCTATTTTTTATATCTTGTTTAATCATTATTCTTTATTTTATTTTTCTACTTAGTTCATCTAGAATAAATCATCAAATTTTGGTTATCCTATTTTCAAGTTAATTTGGAATTTGAAAAATTTGTTGACAAACTTCATTAACACGTCTCCTGGCTACGACACCTTTACAAGTAATCCCTATCTACAAAGATTCGTGCGTTTGCGAGTGGGTATATATAAATCTCACAACAATATATTCTCATGGTGTCATTCTCCGAGTAATATTCAAACACAAGCATACCTTGACACACACACACAAACACATATGTGTACACTCTTCAAACACACACACACCCCCCATATATGTATAAATGAGTGAAGATAGAAAGAGATTGTTCGTATGAATAGAGGAAGAATGAAGGCTGTAAGACTGAGGCACGAAGTTTCTCAGTTACAGTTTGTTTGTCACTTTCAATTATGAATTAGTCACATTCTATATGAACAATTTTTTTCCTTGTCTCAACATTTTCAAATGTATCTAACCATCTCTATAACTTAATTGAGCAAATATTCTATCAAAATCTTCTTCTGTTTGAGTTTTGTCTTTAATAAAGTAGTAATAGAAATACACATCCAAGTATGGCGTTGTTATGTATACGTGATTGAAGTATATCACCAGATTTCGATTAATGTCGAAAACCGAGCTAAAAACTGATCAATGGTTCTTCTAAAACACTCATAGCACTTAACAGTTATTAAACTTTATATTTTCTGAGAAGTATCTTATAAGTCAACATATAGCGCAGTCGAGAGAAAAAATAAACGAGGCAAATGTATTATACATGGAGAGCATAGCTCCACCTTTCAAAAGATAATATACAAAATTTATTTCAATACAAGGTATGAATACAAAAATCTCATGCAACAAATGAAAATAACAGCTCTAAAACTAACACATATATACAGCCCCAGCATGAAATCCTAACCAAATAAATAGATGAAAATGCAGTTAAATATAAGAAGTTTCAGACAACTCAAACCGCATGAGAAGCCTCACTGAGTTAAACTTTTCTCCTTTTCGGTCAAAGAGGGGGACTGCTCGGATTCCTTCCCTCAATTCAGAAACAGGCAAACAATTTTGGCCAGCAAAATCATCCTTCTCAGACATGTCGTACTCATGTACTTCGATTCGAAGTAAAGCCAATTCAGGAACAGTCAAGGGAAATGTGAACTCTTCACCCCAAACCGGTGTCCAATTGTCCTCTTGTTTCTTTGTTTTCTTCATTATCTCATCAGCAGGCACTCCGGCTATACCGACCTGCCCCACAGATTGACCAGTAAATACATGGATCAATATGCTCAGGAAGGCTAATACAGGGGAGCAGATTGCATTTCTATCAAAATGCAAGGATTTGACTGGCTACGGACTACAAATATCAATTCACATGCACGAAGGTAATCATGACTGAGCGACAATTTTTAATTTAAGACAATGAATAGCTTTTAAAAAAACATTTTTGGCACTTTTTAGAATCGCATAGAAAATTTTCCAGATGAATAATCTGGGGAATTAGTAAGTCAAGACTCGAGATATTAAGTTGATAAGTGGAATAGAAGTTGATATTAAGTCAATGTCCCATATATCCGTGCAATATGGCCTAAAGCTTATTTTATTCAATGTCCCATGTTGATCAATATATACACCAGTTATACAATCTAAACATGATTTATTTAGCTTACACCGAAAGTAATTAGTGTAATTGAGAAGGAAAGAATTTAGTGAAGTACTGCAGACTTACCCTGGTGTAGAAGTCAGGCGGAGAATACAAATCAAAATGAGTTTGTTTAAAATCCAAATGCCATCCATCCCCCATATATACTTTTACCTGTCACCACAAGAAATTGTGTGAAGAGTAAATTATGGGAAATGTGGAGTTACATTTGCTTTAGTGGTCTGCTCTCACCTTTAAAGTTTTCTTCACTGACGACTTTGCTTTAGGATCAAACACCTGATTGTGCGGAACCATGCTCATAAAAAATTCAGGTTTTTTCACGTAACCACACCCCCCGTTGGATCTAAACATCCCATGCATCAACCAGAGTGACTTACCATATCCCTGCCATTGGAACAGTGACAAGTCGGACTTTGAATGAGAAAAATATATACATATATATAAATGAGATATCATCGCTTTTGAACTTAGAATTTCTTGAAGTATAGGAACTCACTTTTAAAACAAAAAGTGGTGCAGTAATAGCATCCTGCTCTATTCAACTAGCAACCAATGTTTCCACATTGTTAATTTTTGTAATTGACGGAGAATTTCTTCTTCTTCTTTTTTTTTAATTCAATTAAATCATAACCCAACCAATTGGTTGAGCTATATGAATCTTTCATGCAAGGCCAAAATAGGACCAAAATACTCTGAAACCATGTTGAGTAGAACAGAAAGAAAGAAGGGGATGAGAAGACAGAAGATGAGATGAAAGAAGGGGATAAGAACACAACAGTTGAGATGAGGCTTGAAGAAGGAAAGACTAAGAATAATGGGGGAGGAGAACAAGAAGAGGGAATTCTGAAATCATGATAATATGCCAATAATCCAAAACTGACTTGTTTGATAACATAATAGCCTTTATATATGCAAAACATTAACAAACTCTAAAAACCCTAAAATAATTAAGTACTGAAATATCCTTAAATTAAAGCATTAACAAAATTATAAAAATTTGATCCCCCCAAAATAAAAAGTGCAGGTCATGTGTGCCAATCATACCTCGTTCTCAATCAATCTTGTTTTGTCCATCCTACTTAACTAGGGACACAAGTTCAGTTTAGCAATACTATATTTATATTACTAGCTTAACCCTTGTTAATGTTAATTGTTGAGCTTGCTTCCACTATCCTAGTAGGCTATAGCCTAGTGCAATGATAAAAGCGCATATTGATGAGCGAACAATTTAAGAACTACCACTTTATCAAATGATAAAATGCAAAAATATGTATCCCTAGTCCTCTCCCAACACCCCATTAAAGTGGTAACAATACTAAAAAAAGGTCTTCGGGCCCTTTCCCTGCCTCCTTCACATGCTAAACCCGATATCTCCTCATTTTATCACTAATATTTGCTAGTTCAATTGTTTCATGAATATAATCGTTTTTAATTCTATCCTTTCTTGTCTTATGTAAATCCATTTTGACATAAGCAATTTAACCAATCTAATTTTATGATTATGTTGTAATCTAACCACCAACATTTTATACCTAAACAATAGTTGGTCTAACAACTGCTTTGTAGGATTTACCTTCTATTTTTTAAAAGTTTACCTTAATCATACAGCACACAAGAAAAATCCTCCATTTAATATATAAAATTTTAATTCTAGTAGCATCATCACCAATCCCTCCCTCTGTGAATAATCTAGTCTATTTGTCCAGAGAGCTCCACTTTTTTCTACAAATTCCTAGTTTGCAAAATTACATTCCGCATATTTTAAATTTTAGTCCTTATAATTGACCATCTAAAATTTTGAGCATCATTCTTGTCCTTTGTTTTTTTTTTTTTCATGAAATAAAACAATATCACCAGTCATAGCATACAGAATAGAACCTAATCCTAAATGTATTAAATTAATTTATTCATACTCAAGATGAAGAGACATGAGCTTCGCGTTGATCCCTAGTATAAAAAAAAATATAGTAATTAGAAATTCACTTCTTTCTACTGCAGTTGTTCTGACTAAATTTATCTTCTTTCTAAAAAAAAAAAAGGAATAGGAAAAAGAAAGAAAGAAAAAGAAAAGTTCACTCGAATAACTAATTAAAAGATGAGTGATTTTATGGAAACCCGCCTCAGTATACAATACAAGCTCTGTTTATGATCCACTTCAAATGTTTCCTGAGAGTTTTAGATTTATATCTTATGGTGGATTGACCCACTTCTGTAACCTGAAACTAACAAATGACAAGAGAACCCCATACAAAAAGAAGAATTACATTTAACACGGGTTTTTATCATTTATTATTATTATTTGTTTATCATTTTGTTTCAATTAGTAGTTTTAAAGCAGTTTCAACAACCAACCAGAACATTTAGCTTACCAAGAAAATGAGAAAATATATTCTATAATTGATCCTTAATGGCTCATAAGCATTAAAACTTGGGAAGTCTAGGGTAATCTACTTTTGAAAAAGTGAAGATCCTCTCAAAAGAAAATACACTGTAGGCCAATGTAATTGCTTATGCTATTAATTTAGCACAGGCAAGCAACAAGTACTTTTTGCATAGTTTTGGCAGATGGTGAAGTGGAATAAAATTTTATAAGCACAAAAATAAAATTAATGAAAAAAAAAAAAAGAAAGATAATAAAGCAACAAGAAAAAGAAGTTTGATATGCAAAATATTAACATTACGTTACATGTTGGGAAATTGTGAAGAACCAAACCTGCATATTAAAAGCAACCAATTGAGCTCCGTGCATCCAACCAATTAGTGGCTTGTAATTCGAGGAGTTAAATCGAGTACCTTTGGGGTATACCCGCAGAAAATTTCTCTGGGTGAACCTAGATTTTGAGAAAGAACATCATTAGAGATAGTCAGAAAATTATCAGCAAAAGCATAATATGCCAACTTTTCCATAAAATAGGTACATAAATCCAGGTGTAATGTACACTGTATGATGGTCATTGAAATATACCTTACTACATCTATTGCATGAGATTCAGCAGCCTTTTCAAGTGCTTGTTCACTCAAACTAAGGCGTCTAACTTTGTCACTTTCAACTTTGAGAGCCTCCTTCAACCCACCTTTTGGTTTTCCAGCATGAATAGCAATTAGTTGCTTGTATGCAGGTGGTTCTGCTGGACGTGAATTTATATGACAGTCATCAATGGCTTCATCATCCTGACTGTGGTCACTCTTTTCACTATCACTCTGCAATCCAGCAAAGCAAAAACCAATAAGCAGACGCCTAAGAATTAGGATTTTGGAATTAAAGCCAAGACATAACAAACTTCATTTTTCAGCTCACCTTATCCTCGCTTTCTTGATCAGCTGTAAGATCCGATGGTTCCTTGCCCCATTCATCTTCATCAGAATCCTTTGCCTTCTGTGAGTTACTTCCTTCAAAACTTTTAGCTTCAAGGTACTCTTTTGGAGGTTTGGTTGAAATAATAACACGTTTCATTAAATCTTTTGGTGATGGGAATACTTTTAAATACTCCGACTCGGGCCTGTACAACATTTCTCCAAATGTTTGATCAACCATCTGGAAACAAAGCATGCACCAGCATAAGATATGTAATTCAAATCAAGAAAGGTGGTTCAAATCCATGAAAGACAACGAAGAATCACCTGAGCTACTTTAGCCTGAAGCTCACATGTAAGGTGGTCTTCTAAAGTTATTATGACAGGGTATGGAGATGCTGAAAAGGCATGTTCTTTGATGGATTTCAAACATTTTATGAGTTCCACAGGAGTTGTCAAGGTCCTATATTCACAAAAACATAATTTTTAAAAAAATCTCCCAAAAGAATTAAAGAAAAAAAACTAGAATTAATTGAACCCTATCAGAGTTCAGTAAGTACGGTAACAAATTAAGTTATCAAAAACTAATTTAGGAAAAAATATAAAATAAAAACTATACAACTTCTCGATTGCTTTCTCTTTTTCAGAGCTTGGTAAAGCGTTCATGACTAGCATTGATGGTTAGTGAATTACAAGTCCAGATGTCAACTGCAGCTAATTTACTAATTAATCTATATAATTTGTATAGAAAATCCACTGGGATTAGGAACCTTAAATATCTATGGCACAACAACATATGTAATAATTCCATAAAGATCAGATTGTAGTACTTGTCAAGTGAATGTGGCATTTTGGTTTAAAGAATATACATAGATACGATCTCTTCTCGCTTGTTCTTGTCATGACATTTTCAGAACAAAAAGTAGAACCTCTGAAGCACAAAACATAGTTTATTTTAAGTGAATTTTTCAAAACACACCATATCATAATAATCTAAGTTGTCATTAGTCAATTCCATACATCTCTCAAGTAATTAGAGAGTAAAAAGAACAAGAAAGCATTCATTGAAAGATAATACTTATGTAGTTTACATGTTTTTGAGACCTTGCATACCTTCCATGTAGAACATGCACATCATCTTTGGTGGGATTAGGCCATAAATCAAGCTCTATCACTCTCACACCTCTTTTCAGTGCCTTTATGATTGGGACATCACTGCAGTCACTACTGAGCTGGTTTCCAGTCAAGTAAGAATTGTGTCCGGTGTATATGAAATAATGTGACAATGGAGCACTCATATCATGGTGAACCTAAAATGAAAAGTTGTTTATTGTTAGGAAACACGGTCTCCATATATTGTTCAATTCACTCTGCATTGACAAAGAAGAGAACTATAACACTATAAAAAGTGCAAACATAGGGAACAAGTAAAAGGGCTGGCCTAGTGGCACGAGGCTCCTGCCACTACGGGTCTAGGGAGGGATAGATGTAACAAGCAAATAACCAAAATGCGATCTTTATGCTATTCTCAACTATTTTGCTTATGTTGTCAAAATTTAATTCTGTGTCCAATTCCAATTGGCTTCACAAAGAAAACTGAATTTCTCATTACAATATAAAAGATCATTTAAAAATAAAATGGTATTATAGGCTTTGCCAGCTTGTTACGCATCAGATTCCAGATTTTTTTTTTGGTAGGTACCAAATTTGTCATATATGTGAGTTTCAAAGCTGAGATCTCGTGTCTTAACCAGCATTGCAAAAGCTAGCAACCACAAATGTCAGCTACCAATTTTATTTTATTTATTTATATACTAAATTTTATTTTTATTTTTATTTTTTTGGAACATTGGCTTCCAGATTTGGTAAAAGATAAAAGGGAAAAACTCATGAAAGGCTTCAAGGACTCCAAAAACAGAAGATGAACCATTTTACCCAAATCAGACACTCAATTGCACGAGTCAAATTGGTGACAATTAACTCATTCTCACTCTGTTTCTGTTAGTTCCATTTTTTCCTATTATTTCCACTTTTGAAGAATAATAATTAGAAATGTGAGGACTTTATAGTCTTCCCACTATTTCCATTGAAAAAGAAATGCCTAAACTTCAAATGTATGTATAGATCACCAGTAATGAATCTTGGAAATTTGGAATGTTGTGACATTTTAAGTCAAGTCAATTAGGCAATTATGATATTTTTTTCACTTTTCTGTTCTTACTATTTCTCAGCAGCCAAACAAAGTAGCTAGTTGAAGTGTGTGTGTGTGTGTGTGTGTGTGTGTGTATCTATATATATATAAGCTATACCTGAGATCCGATTGGGGGATTGAAATCAACTGAGAAGAGGTAGTGATGGAAATCGTCGAGGGTGAAAGAGTGCCTAGTGAACTTGGCAATGTGATGTCGTTTATGCAGAACCTGCTCCACAATGCGCTCAGAGTCGGCGATCGTAGCTCCGGCATCGCCTTGGACCTCCATCAAGAACCGCCGGAGCTGCTCCGCCGTCATGTGGGACCCACCTTCCGAATACTTCTTGAACGCTTCTTTCACGTCCGCCGGTGGTTCTGCCTCCGTGATCTTGAACTTTCTCGTAAAGCAAACACATATCCTGTAGCTCCCCATTTCACCTCCTCTCTCTCTCGATCACTCACTTTCCCTCTCTATGTATCAGTGGATCACCTGTTCATCGACCGATCAGCGAGACCAGAGTGAAGAAGTGAGTAAGAAGAGATACTAAAGTCTAGAGAGAGAGTCTGTTGCTATATCGGAGAATATATATAGATGAAGTACAGCCATAACGCGTCACAGGTGTGTGTATATATATATATATATATGTATGTATATAGTAATATATACACACACGGTTGATACACGCAGACTAATTTGGTGTATATTTTTTATATTATCATCTTCTCCATTTTCGAGGAGGAAATGAAAGGATTAAAAAAAAAAAATGAAGATTATAAAAATTTGTTGCCGAGGAAAATGAGTGGAAAGGAAATGAGAAGAAAGGATGCTGAAACTTTATTAATGGTTCAAAGTTCCTTTTTGCTTTTATCATGTTTTTGTTTTTCTTACAAATTAGTGGGAGTGTGACTTTGCTTGAGATCCATTGTATACCAACTTAATTACACAATTTATTTTTAATAAGTGCCGCTTAACCTCCGCACATGTTTTTATTCAAATTTTTTATTATTTATAACTTAATTATGTCGTTTTTAAACTCCCATTCTTAAATTTATTCTCACTCTCAACAAATATATTATACCATCTATGATTTATTTGTTAGGATATATGATTTATTTGTTATTAATATTTGTGTTTCTTACTTTTGAATCCCAAATCAAAACTAGATATTAGTTAACCTTTTTTAATTTTTAGAACCAAAATGGAATATTTTCATTGAATCAAACTACATGATTTGATTAGGTTCAATTCGGTCTACGGTTCTAACATTCTAAATTTTAAACAGAATACAAATATTTTATTTAGTTAAATGTAAGGAAGAAATGATATTAAATTATTATTAAACTTGTTTATATTTTTTCATTAGATAGGTAATTTCATTTTTATATATCTAAAGGCGTATAGCATACGTAGGGGGACTCAACATAGGATTAGTGGGGCCAGATTCCCTCATTGAATTTTTTATATTTTTATTTTATATTTTAAATTTTTAAAAATTTATAAAGATGTCCCATTAAAATTACAATTTGCCTCATTAATTTTTATTTTTTTTTTACATTTTACATTTTATATTTTAATTTTTTAAAAATTAATAAAGATGTCCCTACTAAAATTACAATTTATATTAATAATTTTTTTTTTCACATTTTATATTTTAAATTTTTTAAAATTTATTAAAAAACTCTACAAAAATTATAAAAATTTAATTGTCCACGAGTTTGACTACTCAATTTGGGTTAACTTTGTGGGGGTCCAGTCAAATTTCACTACAGAACACCTTTATTTTAATTTAATTTATTACTAATTTAGTAGTAAGTTTCGGTCAAGCCACGTGTTGATTATTGTTGATCTTTGGGAGTTGGAAGATATGCATCATGAATTGTCAATATCAACAACCAAGTGTTCACAACTTCCGAAAAAAAAAAAAAAAACAACCAAGTGTTCACATCCAGCAAACTATCGAGGATGATGGTGCTGTGCACCACCATATCATATTGTTTCTCAATTGGATTGACTCTACATACCTCGGTTTCGTCACCCTCACCCCCACGTATCATTCGTCAGCTTCCAGAATAAAATAAAGCGGGAAGGTGATGATGCCTCAAACTCTCAAAGCTCCTGGAGTTCATACCGCATCTTCACCCACGACTTTTGCCGCCGTCACCCGACCACCGCATCTTCATCCACAATCTTTACCTCCACCGCTGAGATGAGAGGGTTGAAAGAGAAAGATGAGAATATGTGTTTGGCAAAAATAGAATTGAAAAAAGAATGATAAGGAAAGGATAGTTTGATCATTTTATTATAGAATTAAAATATATCTTAGGACATATTATACATTTCATGTCAATTAAGGCTATGTTTGGCTTTTTTTTATAGAATGGGGTGTCATTGTTCAAGTTTGCAAACTTAGAGTGTCATTGTCCAAAAATAGCTTAAGTTGTATCTACCTATCTTTTAGACAAACTTAGGGGAGTGTCACTACAATTTACCCTAATATATTTTTTATACACACATACTGTGTCATCATGTAGGAAAAACGTAAAACTTTATTACAATTTTGCAGAGTACAACTTTATGTATGTGTATAAATTTGAGTAAATTAGATTCGTCTTCGAAATACGGATACGAGACACCTTAAGTTTTTTAAAAATAGGATACAAATATGATATGAATATATTAAAAAATAATAATATAATATTTTATTATATATATAAAAAATTATTTTTATATATTTTATCCAAATAATCATGAAAAAAAGCATTCATTTAGAGTTAATAATTAAATGTTTGTTATTTTTGCTCTTTTAAATTTTATATTATTTTTCGTATTAGTCCATAATATATTTTAAATTGCATCGAATTTAATCTTTTAATAAAAATAATTATAAAATCACCTGTCATGAAAGTGTCCAAAATGTATTCTTGTCATATCCCAGCCATGTTTAGCAACAAAATAAAATATTTAAATTTCAGGACACTTCTAGCTGAGTCTGACACATGGTTATGGCGGATACGCAACGTATCACTTGATTTGTAACCTTTTTTTAATATACCGTTATATACCTCAATGAATCAGTCAATTCGACCGGTTTACATTAGTTATATCGTGACCGATATCACAATCGATACTTAGACTACAAATTATGATACGCCATGTGTTTAAGTATTCATTAGCACTTTTAGGTGGAGTATCTATTTTCCCTACATCTTTTATGATATTTACGCTAATTAAATTCTTTAACGTTTATTACTTTGACTTGTCTTAAAAACCCTTGCCAATGGCGCAAAAGTTATTACTCCCTCCGTTCTATATTAGTAATTCACTTTTTTTTTTTTACATGTCTCAAATTAATTGTTCTATTTGAAAAGTCAAAATATCTTTTCATTATATTTTCATCATTATTTTTTATCTTTTTAAGAAATTTCAAACTTTGTAATTATATATATTTAAATAAAAAAAGACAATTTGATAATTTTAAAAAAAAATAATATATTAATTATATATTCCCTTCAAAACTCTAATTTTTAAAGTTAACCAATTGCATGTCCCCTTCAGTAATACATTACACTGAAAACTTGACTGGACCCACATAAAGTTAACCCAAACTTAGTAGTCAAACAACCGTGGAGAATTATGCTTTAGCTCAGACAGGTGTGAACAAATCTATGCATACATACCGTCTCATCCAGCAGGAAAAATCTGGAACTTTTGTTACAACTTTGTATCCTTTGTAGAAATAACTTTTTATTTCAGACTACACATGAAAACTAGTAGAGCACAACTTTACTACGTATTTATGTATATAAATTTGAGTAAATTAGATTGGTCTTTGAAACGCGAATACGCACAATAATATTATAAATTTAAAAAAAATAAGATACGCATAAGTTATGAATACATTAAAAAAATAATAATATAATATTTTATTATATATAAAAAAGTAATCATTTTTATTTATTTTATCCACATAATCATGAACAAAAGTATTAATTTGGAGTTTATAAATAAAAGTTTGTTATTTTTGCTATTTTAAATTTTATATTATTTTTCGTATTAGTCCATAATATATATTTAAATTCTTTTGAATTTCATCTTTTAATAAAAATAATTACAAAATCACCTCGTTGTGTTCTGAAAGTGTCCAAAATATTTTCTTGTCAATCCCAATAGTGTTCAACAAAAAAAATAAAATATTCAAATTACATGATACTTCTAACTTGGTGTCGTATTAGTCCATAATATATATTTAAATTCTTTTGAATTTCATCTTTTAATAAAAATAATTACATAATCACCTCGTCGTGTTCTGAAAGTGTCCAAAATATTTTCTTGTCAATCCCAGTATTGTTCAACAAAAAAAATAAAATATTCAAATTACAGGATACTTCTAACTTGTCCGACACCGCCACAACATTTCTAGGTGGAGTGTTCATGTTTTCTAGATCTTTCATGATATTTAGACCAAGTAGACCATTTAACGTTTATTACTTTGACTTCTCCTAAAACTTGTTCACCAATTACCGAAAAGTTATAAAGTTTGAAAAGTCATTAATATTCTTTTATTATAATAATATATCTTGTGTTTCATACAAGGGAATGATAAAATTGTCATTTTTAAAGTTTTGATCAACAAGTGTGTAAAAAAAAAAAAATGCTAGACACCAAATCTCATTGGATCTTGATGAAATTAATATCAATGTATAAAATTACACAGTAATATCAATATATATATATATAAGATAATTTTATATAAGAAGGTTGGTACAGAATGAATAAATATGGACACAAGACCCACAGAAAAAAAGACAAGACTATTGCAAAATTTAAATTACGGATTTGTTTTTTTATAATTAACATGCGTTCTTCTCTTCTCTTCTCTCTTAAACTGTAATAAACAAGATAAGATATTATTTTATTTTATTATTATTATTTTTTTCATCCAACTAAATAAAAGAGAAAAGAATAAATCTCTTCACATCTTATTTTCTTCCTTCAATCAAATTTTCTTCCTTCGTAAAAAACAAATTCATGAGTCGTGGCAAACCTATCAATTGTCATGTTCAGCAAAATTTGGAAGTATCCGAAGATTGAGTTGTTGATAATATAGGCATCAAACATTGCCACGTTCCCAATTGTCCAATTTGATTGTATGAGGTGTCTTACGTTGGATTCTCTTCCTCCTACTTGTGCAATCGAGGCTACTAAACCACATAAAACCCACCTCATATAAAACTAATAAGATCGAAAAATTAATAGTGTCTGTCCAAAACATTTTTTTATTGTCACAACAAAAGTGCAACTCCAAAAAAAAAAAAAAAAAAAAAATAATAATAATAATAATAATAATTTATTGATATTTAAAAGTAAGCTTGCTATATGCCAAACCTCATGGTATTTAATAAGATTTGGTCGAACATGGACTAGTTCAAACCCAATCCATCCATTAATTAGTTATTTTATGGCATGTGGTAGTTGCAACGTGGTATTTGATTACGTATGGGTTTTAGTATAAAGTTACTCCTATAACCTAACCAAAACCTAAAAGTCAAAAGGGTTTTAATACAAACAACCACAATACGATCCAGGAAGGAATTGTTTGTAAGAAGTTGGGCTGGACCTGGACTGGTTGTAGACTAATAGCCCACTTGTTTTGGGTTCAAAAAAAGTTGGAAACAAACTTTCCCGCATAAAATTGATTTTGCATTTTCTTATAGTCATCATATATTATTAACACAATATGTAAAATTTTGTGGAACAAATGTTTATCATATATTTCCACATCATAGAATAGAATTGGATCATCTCAATTGAACTTAAATCCAAACATTTATTATACATAGTGAGGTGTTGCTCC